ACGTTGTTGCAAGTCCGCATTATATTATTGCAGCTGAATCTGCATCCGGCAATGTCTGCTTGTCCATCCTCCGCTAATCTGCCTGCAAGTCAGCCGTAAAGCTTCCGCAACTGCACCGTAAACCTGTAACAACTCTCGAATTGGTTGATAATTTGCAAGCAAAACTTGAGTCGTAAAACAACCATAACTAATCGTAGGTTGCTGTTACACTACCCATAAATCTTTCGGAAAACTAGATTTACATTTCCTTTCCTTCACACAACTCCCTCACACCTTTCTTTCAGTCTCCAAGTATCCTTTACGGGCCTCCTCCATACACATTTTCCGTACACCTTCCGTACACATCTCGCACTCTCCCATAAGACTCCTTTCACACTCTCCGGGTACCCCCATGCTACTCACACACTCCAAGAAGGGTGTATTTCCTCCTACACCCTCCTCCCCGAACACCCCCACACACCTGTTCCCCCAGCATCCCAGCATGAGTGGCAGCCACTCTCTCCGGACGCCCGGCGGCGGGACACAGCACTCTCATTGTACGGCCAACGCTTTCCCTGAGCTGGGGAAGCCTTCTCCTGGTCCGGGCCCTGGGCTGGGGACATCGCTGTGGTCCTCATAAGCTTTCACTGCCGTCATATGGCTGCTCCTGACCTACTTAGCGTGTACTCGAGCTTTCTTAGGGAAATACTACGTCAAAACTCTATTGCTGTCCACCTGTTCACTTTGAAGGGCATATATGGATGTCTAAATTGTGAAATATGCATGAAATTCTACGTCAAATCTCTATTGCTGTGTCCATATGTTCAACTGTTCACTTTGAAGGGCGTATATGCACGTCTAAATTAATTTTCCATTTTTCAGACCTACATTAATTTGTAGTAATCCACAATAATTTCCCTATTTATTCGCGACTCGCTCATCATTTCTCGTCGAATGTTATAGAGAATTTCGTGCTTGGACAAAGTTTTTTGGCCTTGGGTAGGGACGTTTAATTAGATTCGTGAATTTTATTGTAATCAGTATTCAAGCAGACTAATAAAATTGCTATTTCTTTGTGTTCATTACATTTGCCCACAAATGTGTTCGTCGTTTAATATAAATATATAATACTCGAAACAAATATTTTCTTTCGAAGCATTTCGTTCGGCAGATGAAAATTAATTTCAAAAATATTTTGAAATCATTTGGCATTCCTTATATTCAACACATGGCTGTCAGGTCTGGAAAAGTCATGACTGGTCAGTTTTGGAAAAAAATTCTCTCTCCGTAGATCGATCGTGAGTTTCAAAATCTGCTTCGTGCATCCAGCGTTTCGAATCGCAATACAGCAGCTGTTGTCTGGCTAGTGCAGTGACAGCGGTAATGAACAGCTGGTGTCATTCTATGCACCATTGTCTGCTGAACTCACTACTGTATATGCTCCAATTTTAAGGATGTTGAAATTTCCACCGACGGTCGTATTTCGATCGTTTTTGCTTTCAAAAATCTAGTATTTATAGCTCAATTACTGTAACCAAGGTCCCGTCAAATATGGTTGAATTGAGAACCTTTGCTCTAATCACCCTTCTGGTAATGCCCTCAACGGCCAATAGCTGATGTCAAAAAGTAATTTAAAACTTATTAGAGCTAGCGATAATTTAAAAACATGCAGTTGTCTTTAAATATGCAAGTAATAATGAATTCTGCACAACTGCTCCAGAGAGCAAGTGAAAAACAATTATCTTAATGCTGCGCTGAGAAACAGCTTTTTGTTATTCCAAATTATCTATTTGAGGCTCATTATCAAACCGAAATTTAAACTCATGACCTAACTCAAGTGATAATACTGTAAAATTTTGTGTTGGCGTATGCACACCGCACAGGTGTTGGGTTGTGTAAATTTCCCCGGGAAACAGTATTTTTTTGACAGGTAAAGATTCTTGAAGATGATTTTGAATTTCCATTCGTTCCTATCGTTTGAAATTTTGATAACATCGAACAAGAAGCAAACCAACGTTCCTACCGAAATAAGGTTGAAAGAAAAAATGTTTTTTTTTAGTTTGCAGCAGAAACGCTCCTCGATCGCCCACTTCACAATTAAAGGAGTTCAAATTTGTTTCGTCTTTTAATTGCTTTTGTATACCTTTCAATGGAATTCATTGGTTTTACACATTCTTTCTCGTAGTTATGAAAAATTTACTTTTATGAGTGAGGTTTACCGATCACCGGTGCGTGATAATAGAAGCAATTTCTATCTTGATAGCATTCGAGAACCAAGAAATAAAAATCAACAAAAATAGTTTGCTCAATATTGTTTTATTGGTTACGTTATCACTTTGTACTCGAGTGAAACTGAAATGTACTTTCCAATAATTAACTTCCTCTACCATAGCAGAAATGATTACAAACTTCAAACTTCATCACAGTACGTCAGAATTTCCTCAATATGAATGAGAATGCTTTTAAAAGATTCCTGGGCGTCGAATGTAGCACAACGTCAATGACTCGAGGCAGATCAGTGATTAGCGTGATTAGTTCAATGACATACAAGCATTCAAGTTATTATATTGAGTTCCCCGGCAGTCCAGTGAACGATGCTGTGATTATTAGTGCCATCATACTGATTTACAATGCTTGTATGTTTTGAAGCATTTCAGGTAGAATTTTATTCATCCCAACTACTTACGAATAGTTTTGAAGCATACGTGTTATTGGCCAATGGTTCTGAAATATCACAGGCGGTTCTCCAATTACTAGTGTCGACATCTATCCATTGAAGTGCCATTGACTTAGTTTCTCGTCAATTGTCGAGACTAGCTGACGCGCGCGGGCCACTGCAGAGTGGGTTCTTGCACGACATTGGGATTAAGAGTCCTCATGAAACTGGTGTAGATAGTAGAAGTACTTCACGTCGTTTATCTGCCGTCAGTGAAAAAGAAAGAAGGTTTTCTTGCGTTACCTTATTTTAATTTGAACCTTTAAGTGCACTCGCATTTAAAATGTGATCTGAGATGTCGTGGGAGTAAAAAATATTGAAACGAACTTCTAATATTTCGTATTACACTTTTAGCCAATAACGAGCTTCTACTTATATCCGAATGTCTACATTTGCAACGCTAACTCCTCCTGCGATGGAAATAAGCGAATTAAACGAATTAATTCTTCTACATAAATTACTGCATCCCACTCTTAGATGAACAATAAAAGTTTGATTTATTATTTCAAAACCCAGCGCAAGATCTCCAGTTTTTCCATTACTTTCTACTTGAAATTTGTGAAGGCGATACCTCAATGTGTACATATTATCTGACCGATGTAGCAGCCGCACGATAGCGTTTTAGGGGTTACGTGTATTATTTTTTTGTAGATTATATCCACTAAACTTAATTATTATAGGGCTCCACATCCATATAATATGTATTAATTTTTGTAGATTATATCGTGTACACAGTACACTTAATTAATACAGGGCTCCACATCCTTATGATACTCGGCAGGGCTGGTCCAGCGCTGAGCTGCTGCCAGACGCTCGGTCACAGCACGCAAGCCTCGCACCGCCAGCGGCTGGAGACGCGCTCCATCAACTGCGTCATCCTCCCCAACCCTCATCCTCCCCAACCCTCATCCTCCCCAACCCTCATCCTCCCCAACCCTCATCCTTCGCAACCCTCATCCTCCTCAACCTTCATCCTCCCCAACCCTCATCCTCCCCAACCCTCATCCTCCCCAACCCTCATCCTCCCCAACCCTCATCCT